TATCAGTATATTTCGGAAGGAGACGCTTTAGCCTCTTGTGGCAAACTGGTGTCCAACGATATCCATTTTCTTTTCACATACATTTTCCAACATTTATTGCTGGCTGTTTTCCAAACTCCGTATCGTAACCATACACAGTAGCAGACACATATTTTGTCAAAGATCGCAGTTTGTCGGGCGCTCTTTCTTCACACTCATCGGGCAAAGTTTGAAAAACTGCGCTTGCATTCCCTTCTCTAACCTTTAAATTTATGGATAAACATTAAACTTTATGGGAGTAAATATTAGTTCCATGTTGCTAGTGAAATAAGGATTGAATAAATTGTCTAAATATGAGATCAAAAGCACGCAGCAACCTTCAATAATCAGACTTTATTCAACTCCTTAACTCCCCATATACATCTGCAACAGACAAAACAAAACCCAATTAGAACAAGAGCATTTAAGTGAGTAAACCTAAACATAATTTATTCCATTTCACCAATGATCTATTAATATAAATCATCATCATCAATGTATCATCATCTGTTATCATTGTATCATGTTTATTCCTCCTAAATTTTATTAACATTTAAGTTCAAAACAATTTTAATTCCTTCCTTCTCTTCACCGATAGTCCCAGCACTAGCCAATCATACGTGCAATTGCCGTCTCTGACTTGCTGTTGGCAGCACTGAATATAAATGTGCTGTATGGGTGATCCTGATTCAGTTGCCCACACCTATTAGGTTTTACCATACATATCTAGCAGGTCAGGTTACACAAACTACATCACTAGATCATCGTACTATGATCCTTTATCCTCTCTCTGTGTTTAAATATTGACGTGGTGTTATCTTACCACCAAATACTGGATCGCCTACTTTAAGCCCAGTGGCAGGACTTTAGTCTACAGCATTGTCTTCAGTGATGATAAATAAATTTAGATGTAATATGTTTTGAAATATTGTAAGATATAAGGAGATTCATTTTATTAAGGAGGTGAGGGTATGAAGGGGAGGAAAGTTGAGGAGGTGGTGAGGAGAGTAAAATGTGAGAAGGAGAATGAACCATAATCTAACTAACTGTCACTCGATTTGAGATTGAGATTTGAATTTGACGTTATGACTTGATCTCATTTTCACTGTTTATCTTATATAATCCCTTTTATACAATGTTTTTTCTTAATTATATATTCTTCCTGTGAATTCTGTTTATAAACGTCTTTGCGTGTGGCCTCAACATCATTTATATAATCTTAACTCTGATGTCTTCATTCTACAAAATCATATCTGATGTCATGTAACATCTCATTGTTTATATTGATGACGTGGAAAGACTTTTAGACATTCAAGAACTCTGTGAGCGATTGATCGACCCCTTATACGAAAAAGAATTAGTTTGTGGTTTCATTATTCAGAAGATTTTGAGTTTTTGTACGAGTGACTGTCTTGTACACCTTCCGCAATCAGTGTATGCAGAATGACTCACACTCGGTACCGTCACAACTTACTCCCCAACAGGTTATACCATGGTTATGGCTTTCTCACTAAAGCAAATAGCCTTGATGCCCTTAGTTAACCTCTCGTCCAACAAACACACTGGTGGACACGTGTGGTAAATCGGCAATGCTGGCTTGACAGTAATTTTGATACAGGCATCAATTGTTGCCGCGATCAGTTATCATTGATAATGGATCGAATCACTAGATTTCAAGATGTTTATGGTTCCTGAACCAGGTTGAGACCTCTGGCAGTATATTACTCAAAACAGAATCTTGAGAAAGCTTCAATAAAATTAATATATCTTAGGCGGCGAAAAAAATGATGAAATTATGGGGACAAATCCGGCACTGTGTATATAATGGCTGTTTAACGCTTTGTCTCTCTGGTGACTTAAGTTGGCTGATATGCCTGGTGTGGTTATGCGAAGGTAACAACTCCTGTATATATGGCTGCCGGTAACATACCATATGATTCAGCGTTTATATATATCATCACGTGTAACACTGCTGGTGTTGTATAGGGCTGTACCGTACGACAGCTCGATCCTGACTGTGTGAGCAAACTGCCATCCAGTGTTTCTTATGTCATATATGATTGAGCTTGCTTTGTATACTAAACAGTGAAGGGACTTGGCGTCAGGGTCTCTCAGTGGACACAATTCTCAGAACAGGCTGTGAGAGATGAAACTTCAGAGGAGACACGAGGAGGAAAAAAGTTCGTTTGAGCACTGTTGGCTCCTGGCTATCCTCTGTGCTCCTCTCCCCAGCGTCTCCAGTGTCAGCTCAGGCGTGACAGGCAGTCACGTTTCAGCTTTTCGTGGGAGTGGAGGCGTTCAGATGGTTCGCCACGATAAGGACTTCCACCTCAACAGCGGCGTCATCCAGCACGGTTGTGGCTGGAGACCCAGAAGGTTGGAGCACCGTGCCTCCCGTTCTACATCAGTTCAGTAGCGGATGTGTTTCGACCTTTACCAAGGCGTTAAAGTTGAACAACGCGGGCTTTGTGTCGCGTTGCCACTGCTGCAAGCAGGCGGAGAACAAAGATCGCTGACGACTTTTATGCGGCAGTTTGTCAGAGGGATCGGCGTCACGGCCGGGGAGTGTGAGGAAGCGTGGATCTTGGCTTACGGGATCTTGACGGGTGTCGGAAGCGCGAAGAGTTGATGGCGACTCATTCCTGGACTCTTCTCCGCCGGTGATGGCTGAATATCTCGGTCACTCCCCAGGCCACCAAGTCACCACCTCTGCCTTACGGAGCCCCTCCTGCGTTTCCTTGAAACAATCTCTCGATGAAGGAGGTAAGGCGGCCCGGCAGCACGGCTCAGCTGGTGGCTTCCACCTACGCCGCGCAGCAAATAACCCAAAGGCAACCGCCGACGCGCTGTGTTGGATGTGACGGTAATTGCTACCAGATACTATATTGTCACCTCTAGTAGGTTCTGTAATTAGTTGTTTCAAAAAATTGTCCTGTACTGCGTCTAGGTGACCTTACAAAACCTGAGGTCAGCTCAAAAAACATGACATCCACTAATCCACACACATGAGAACATAAGAATGGAGGAAACTGCACCAGACCTTTTGGTCCATACTGGGCAGTCCCGTTTACACCCAGCCCCTATTGCTCATATATCCATTCAACCTTTGTTTGAAGCTATCAAGCGTATTCGAGTTAATAATGATGTTTTTAACTTATTCCACTCGTCCACTACTCTATTTCCAAACCAATGTTTACCTATTTCGCACCTAGATCAAAATTTGTCTAATTTAATACCATCGTTGCGAGTTCGCTCCTGGTTGGATAGTTTGAGTACCTTTCTAATGTCCCCTTTGTTTAGCCCTGACTTCCATATAGACACCGCTATAATATCGCCCCTCACTCTACGTCTCTCGAGGGTGTGCAAATTAAGATGCTTTAACCTGTCTCTGTATTCAAGGTTCCTAATGTCCGGGATTAGGCAACCTTGTAATTCAATTGACAGTAGGAACATTATAGAATCCGGTCTCATTAAACATACCGAATCCGTCAACTTGAATTTCGGTAATGGTGTGTACAAACTGAATACTTTTGTGATTGAGAAGATTTGTAACCAGGTGAGAAGGTTGGGTCATATTACCCTATGACCTGAGTACGGACAGCTTCTGTTCTTAGAGATGAAATGGTAATATATTTTTTTTTTCTTAAGAAGATTAGTAAGAAGGGTCACTGCCTTATGACCGGAACATTATGGACACCTGCTGTCCCCTAGGGACTTGATCTCGCTCTCCTCTACTGTATATATCAGCTCAATAAAGCACGCGGACTTCTACATATAATCAACACCTCACCCCGCCAGGATTCGAACCCACGATCATATAATTGGCCACCATGACACTAAAACACCAGCAAGTGCAGCGTACTTAATATTGGAAGAACAAATACTTATAATGTATACAGCCTTAACAACATCAACCTAGAGAAGTCGACTTGTGAAAGAGACCTAGGGGTACTTGTAAGCCCGGACCTACGGCCTAGAAAACAGTGCGTTAATGTTCGAAATAAGGCAAACAGAGTATTGGGTTTTATATCTAGAAGTATAAGTAACAAGAGTGCAGAGGTCTTATTGCAACTATATCTTGCGCTAGTCAGGCCGCACCTCGATTATGCGGTTCAGTTCTGGTGCCCCTATTATAGAATGGATATAAATTCACTAGAGTCGGTGCAGCGAAGAATGACAAAAATGATTCCGGGACTTAGAAACCTTCCATATCAGGATAGGTTAAAGAAACTTAACTTGCATTCCCTAGAAAGACGATTAGTGCGGGGAGTTATGATAGAAGTATTTAAGTGGGTGAAAGGAATCAATAAATGGGATATAGATAAAGTTCTTATAATATCCGAGCAGGATAGGACTCGGAGCAACGGATTCAAGTTGGATAAGTTTAGGTTTAGGAGGGAGATAGGAAGAAACTGGTACACAAATAGGGTGGTGGACGAGTGGAACAAGCTTAGCAACTTTGTAGTAAGTGCGGGAACTCTGGAAAGTTTCAAAAGGAGGCTAGATAGATTCATGGATGATAGAGAGTGGTAGTAACTCTCGACAGGAGCTGCCATGCACAGGCCAACCGGCCTATTGCAGACTCCTTATTTTCTTATGTTCTTAAAAGCAGCCCTAGACTCTGTTATATTCCACACAAAGCCTGTTCAACGAGCTCATGGCGCTGTGAACCTCAAATGGGGACCAGCCATGCCTATTAGGTGATCAGAGCAACGTTTTACCAAATCCGGCTTCGAAACACGAGGAACGCGTTTAGTGTCCTGGTGGCCCAGAGGTAACGTTCCCCGGTCACATTTATACGATCGTGGGTTTGAATCCTGGCGGGGTGAGGTGTCAATTATATATATATATATATATATATATATATATATATATATATATATATATATATATATATATATATATATATATATATATATATATATATGTATATATATTTATAGATAGACGTTTGCATCACTTATATCTGAGTATAAGGAAAA